GATAAAACAACCAAATTTTTGTAGATATAAAAATAATATTTGATTTGAAATAAAATAAATAAATTTTTTGACTTAGTTTAAATGCTGCATGAAAATATCAAAGTTACCATTTAAAATTTATTTGTTTAAAACTTTGTTATGTACATATATTTGGTCATTAGATAAATCATGTTATCTAGATAATCGATTACGAATTTGAAAATAAATTTATCAGTGGTTTTCTAATTTATCATTATAGTATGATTTATCAATCATAGTTAGTTTCTATATGTCTTCCCAATGTCTCTTTGTTATCCTCTTATACTTCACACTTCACAAATTTCTTTAGTATTGTGGCATATGGAAGATACTGAACAGCATCTTGTTTGCTTGTTGTTTACATTCTTTTCAATCGCGGAATGGGAAAGTTTATCTCTTCATCAGTAAGGAGGTGTAGGTTTTCTTCTTCAAATTTGATTTAGGTTTTTGGTAGCCTGAGTTGAAGAACCCGTAGATCCTTTTGATTCACATTTTTTTGTCATTTATCTCCGTCTCGTAAGCTTATATATATTTTGGTTTTTGTTCATCGTAGAAAAATAGTTGAGATTTTAAGATACTATTTCTTAAACGTTGGACTTCCGAATGTGTGGTTGAATGTAAGATTTTGTTTTTTTTAAATACAAACGTTTTAGTAAAAAAAACCTTTCATATTTCATGGAATATATAACTTTTAAAAATAATCTAGGATATTTTTTTTTCTTAACATTTTATTAGGTCAGTTGATTTTACTAATTTATTTCAATTATAAAATTCATAAACACATTTTACTTACCTTTATATGTGTAATATATAATTTTGGTAAAACAAATTCATATTATCATTACTAATAAAATCATGTATAATCTTGTATTTATTAATTATTTTCATTTTCATTCATTTTATTTAGTCTTTCACGTTTTTTAGTCTAATTTAATTTTTTAATAATTATAAAAATAATACATATGAATTAGTGTGTAGTAAATGATTATTTTAAAATTTAAATGTTTTAAAAAATATTTTCGTCTATGTGGACACTCTAGATAGAGAGAAAACTCCCTAATTATATAATAGATTTATGATGTTAAAATGATATATAAAGACATAATCATAAAAAAAACGATAAAAGATTTTAAAAAAAACTTCACTAAATGTGGAAAGTAACAAAGATCCAATCAATATTCATAAGGAAAAAGGTTTTCACATAAAAAAAAAGCCTAATCAAACTTACGTTTTTACATCTTTAAAAATATATTTATACAAAACTAAAAATAGACGAAGTTGACTCAAATTGAGCCAGATCGGATCTTGATATTTGGTAAAACTGAGTTTCATAACTATGACCATCACAGATATCGGATGTGGATATGAGTTCTATTTTTCTTTTTTTTTGAAGAAAATCTGGTTCTCATATCGATGTATGGGACGTAGATGTGGAACGTGGAAATGAGCATTGTGACTTCTTCATTAATTCAATCTTTGATCCATATTTTTTACTCTAGTTCCTTCACTCTTGCTTACAGATTATCCATTTGTTAATTTCTTCATCTTCTTGATCTTAAATATGTTTCAAACCTCAGTTTTGTCGATTTACCACCGTTCTCACCTACAGAGACAAAACAAGTGCAAATGCATCAATAAATGCCTATAAGCAAATGCAAAATCGATTAAAGCATGATGAAATTAGTTCTAAAATATGAAAAATATGGATAGATAAGTTTCATGTTAAGCTATATTTTAGCAAATGAAAATTAATTGCATTTTAAGTGATGTTTTTAACTTTCGATATAAAATTAATTGATTTTTATTTACTTTTTATGATTATTTGTATAATGCAATTTGTTTATTATTTTCAATTTAC